TACTCTTTGATTTTGCATTAAACAAGTATTTTATTGAACATGTTGAATTAAAGTTAAAATTGTTATTACGACTAAAGTAATACTGAGACAACTTGTTTTTATATTGACATACGCCCACTGCGAAATCCTTTACATATTTATCCAAAACGAAATCCTTATAGAGTAGTTAAGTTCGACATATTCGGCAGAATGCCTAAAAAGGCGTAATATACAAATCCTGCTCGACTTTAGTACTAAGAGTACATATGTATAAACGATTAAAAATACACAACAGCGAGAGACCATACACGTTCCTCGTAGGATTGCCAATAAAATCGATTCTTTGACGTATCTTGAATATCAAACTTTAATCAAATCAGTCTACTATTGTCACGTCCTGGGTGAGCAACGTATAAAAAATATTTATAAATATTCCACTATGTGAATACTAACCTTTTTGCACTAATTTCAGTGACTTAATCTAGTGATAATCATACAATGCGCGTTGTGTTGTAGAGATACCGGCATATAATTAGAATATAAAAGTGTTATTTTACTATGATTTTGACATTGTTTCTTTGTTACTTCTGTTTTCAATTACGTCTTGCAATTTTGAATAGAATGTATAGAATACAAATGTATTAAGGTCTCATTTCGTTTAAAAAACATTTGAAAACGGAGCACTAACAGATTTGTTTGAGATGAGTCCATTAGCAGCATTTAAGAAAACTAAACGACAAAGGTAAGTAATATCAATTGTTCACCTTAAAACTTTATCGCTAAGTATGATGTCATACTGCTAGCCTAGGTAGGTTCCTCAATAAAAGATAGAGAAAGGTAGGTATACAATATTTGCAAATGTTTACAGATTCATTTCTACTAGTCATTGTCATGGATTAGTAGTGGTTAGTTACAAGTTCTTCCATGGCGCTCTTTGCTTGCATTTAAATTGTTTCTACCATAGAAGGCCATCCGCGTATATGACAACACTCTTGGTTATTTTGCAATAATTAAAATGAATGTGCAGCGGCGCAACTTTAAAAAAAATATTTTTTATTTTTGTCAAAATGCTTTAATGAATTGCTTTCAAAGTTTTTTATAAAATTGAATTGGAAAGTTGGATTTTATGTGAATGTACATCTTCAGTTTCTATATTTTTTCACGTGTAGTATTACTCAAGTTTTTCGTTTTTTTAAACTTCCTGTAACGTCAGATATACTGCTAGCAATTTCAATAAATCTTTTAATCTCTTGGTACTCGGCAGGCGTAAATACTTTTGCATGAATATTCAATTAAACGTCGCATAAACCTACATACGGCTACATAACTCGATTTTAAAAAGAATTTCACCTTGAGCCGCGAAAGCTGTACATTCAGGCAAAATGATTTTGTGATCTGTGCCTTCCAGTGCTTGTCGAACTATGTTGTATGTTATAAATTCAAATCTAAAGTAGTTTTTTTTTATTTGTGTATGTATGTTAAGTATACTAGTTAGACTGGAAAACAGGTATTAGTTTATTTTAGTAAAGGATAGTTTTATGCCTATTCCTTACTAGGCTCTGGTTCTCCCATATTGGGATTCTATTTAGTAATAAAGAAGTATAAGCTTAGCCGTACCTAGTAGTATCTAGATTTGATATCCGGTATTAACATTTTCTTTTGAAAACTAGTTATGACATGTATTTCATGCTTCAAAAGATAATATATACCAAAAAATTTTAGTAATTCTATAAATTTCAAAAATTAATTAATTGATGATGATGAATTTATACTTCTAATTATCTGTGAATCAAGAAATGCGTGTAATCAAAATTATTTAATAGGTTTTGGTGGCAATGATTTTGCTCCAATTGAATATAAATAACTACGTTAAAACCTTTAACCTAATATTTATATACATATGTAAGCAATTCAGACATAGATACTAATGTCTTCTTTGAAAATGGTGATGGGTTGAGGAACAGAATATAGAATTAGGTGGATTTTGCACCGGTGGCTGGTTCATACCGCATACTTATGAAAGGTCGATATTTTTCTGCTGCTATTAAAACAAGAATTATATTGTAATTTGTTTCGCTCTTTCCTGTTATCATTAAAGTACACCGTGAAAATTGTGTGTATAAAAGATGTTAGCGTTTAGTAATTTGCGAGTAAATTATAATTATTACCCATTAAAAATGAACGACCGTGAATTTTTATTGCCAACTGACAATAAAACTTTTTTTCACATCCTCTACCGATTGGCCTGGCTGTAAATATGAAAGCAGAAAAGCAAAGGCGTCAAATATAATACTTTATACGTGGTGAGTTGCCACCTCGAAAAAATGTATGGTCACTTAAAATGCTCCCTGCACTATCCTCCTTGCCCTATTTGAAAAATGTAGTTGAAACAATATTCAAATAGTGCAACGAGTTTTTTACATTCTATGATGATTTATTTATGAATCAGATTTTTCTAAAAGTTCTTTAATATTTTCATTAGTAGATCTGGTCACAACAATAGATACCTACTCCAAATTTTTATTTTTTTAAATAGGAAAGAGAGAAGGGAGAGAGAGGTGTAGTTTATAAAACGATATATTTATTTTAACGTTAAACACAACAAAATATTTCTATAAACATATATTGCTGTTAGCTAAAATATGGCTCACACAATTTAAAAATCATGCAGACATTGTTAACGTTGTATTTTAATTTTTCATCCTACAAGAAATTGTACACACGGATATTTTTATCTGTTTCCAAACAATAAAAAGCAAGGCCTGTCATAATAATCGTTTTCACACGTAAAATTAATTTTACGCAAACTTGATAACATTTTTGCGAAGCTAACTTTTTTGATTATATTTGTGTATGAAACCAAAATGCCATTGAAAATATCAAATGTGAAATACTACAGTACTGTAGTCGTTCGGCCCGATCGACATGATATAATAATGGTCCACAAATGTTAGTACTTAAATAGATGACCTAAATACATTGCACACTGCTGGACTGCAGAATTTATCATCGGTTCTCAGTAAGACTTATTAGACATATGACGCTTTCTATCAAATTGTCTCTACTACAACCTAACGTAGAGTACAATACTCTTTCACAGTTATAACGAACTGACATTTTTCGATGACTACATCTCTCTAAAGCTTCTCTCATTCAGCAGTTCTTCTTTTATAGAAACAGTCGAACGATCCAGACTGGAAGGTAACATTACTAAGTACCTCAAATACTCAACGTCCACTTGAACTGTTTTTTTTATTGTAGCTCTCACCTATCCTCTCTCTCATTTTATTTTTCACTCTCATTGCAAACTTTCTTCAAGAAAAAGTATGAGCGTAGTCCACCCATCTCGTCCACTCTACCCAGAATAAAAATCTGATTAATCATACAAAAACAATTACATAATTTTAACCTCTTTTTAAGTTTACCTATATTGTCCTTTTGTAACAATATTCATTCGTTTTCAATGTTAATGTAAGTTTGAAGGACCATTACATGTTTGTCCTGAATCTTAAATACATTGTTGAAAGTAAGTCTGTCTATCCATTCCTTTATTAATTGCTTGCGTTTAACCAAACCCAAAACCTTTCTGGTCCTTCGAGCCATATAAAATGTGGTTGTACCTAACACTCCCGTATTAAGTGTCCTACTTACGAGTTCGACGACGACTTCCTGCAGGAGATTTAACATATAGTATGAAAACAGGTGACCATAGCAATTGTATTTAAATGTAGCCACTGCTTTGTTATTCAAAGACGCAGTGCAATGTGCACGTGCAACACAGTTCGCCGATTCCTTAATGGTGAATGTTACGTGAAGCAAAACTATCAAGTTTTATCAGAAACAGTAAACTAATTTTGATATTTTTTCCATTTCTACTTAAGAAAGGTTTCGTACCCTGTTAGAAATAAAAAAGAAGGAAAATGTTTGAATATTGCCATTGACATACAAATCGGGCGGGTAATGAAAATTCCCAATCTGTTTTGTGTAGATATAAGATGCACGATTATATAATAATTAGCAATTGTATAAATTTATATGAGAGGAAAAATAATAAAATAAAAAGGTATCCTATTTTTAAAATATTAACTTAAATTTTTGTGGTTTAAAGTTTTTAAATATTTTTTATTATTTTATTTTTTATTTATTTATTTAGATACATTCACAATATTTTACAGGAATATACTCCCAAAGCAATATTGCAAGCTTATAACTAGTTATCTGATTGTCTTAGAATCCAAATTGCATAATTTTATAAATGATTTTAAACAAATTAATATAGATAGAAATAATGAATTTAAATTATTTATATGTCAGAAATCACCTATGGTTGACTGGTAGAGAATGCCTTAGGCCAATGCACTTAAATAAATAAAAAAATACTGACAAAATTTTCATTATTATACTAGACAGTTATACAATTATACTAGACAATTTTCCTGTGTGGTTCGTGTAAAGTACATAACATAAACTTAGTATTTTATTGGACTAATTAATTTAAATTAGTTCAAACAAAACCGTAATAAAGTATTCGCATGAATAGACTCTAAACTCATAAAATGTTACACGTATTTAGTGTACGTAACAAATGAGACTAACAAAACAAAACTAGGTTGTATAAAATTGGCACATTCATTATGACTTGTATATTTACATGTATGACATGTATAATCTTGTTCCAGATATTAACAAGTTGACTTTGACACTAAGCTGACACATTAAGTGACAAACTAAAAGTTCGTTTAAAAAATAAAAATAATTCTAGCAAACTTTAAAGTTCACTGCCACGGTCTACGGCTTGGTGTTCGGAAATTAAAATGACGATTGTCATAGACATACATAATGGCAATGATTCTGAACGAAATTAGTAGTGTCATAAATCAATCTCTGAACAGTTCGTGGTTGAATGTTTTATTACTAAGTTTTATGTATATGATGACATTTTTAATATATGCCTATTTATTTCTTGTCACTGTTGTGAAGTGAGTATTAATTTTTCTTTCTATTTTTACAGATCGGCCGAGATGATCCACGTAGACGAAACCGATCCGGTTGGAGGTAATGATTTGTCAACAACTATTTTTTAGTATTACAGTTACAATGAAATTATATTATTAAAATCATTAAATTTCCTGTTCACTAGTAAAATTGTATATATTAGGTGATTACACACAAAATTAGTTTATCCTTAAATATTGCGGTGACATAAATCTAACTATTTGATGTGCATATGTATCGAAGGTTTCTTAGTACTGGGCAAGCTGCTGCAGTAGACAGTCTACACACACTACCTCATTTTGGTATTGAACTGAATTAAACTACTCCAAATTCAATTGTGGGAGTGCATAGCTCGAAATCCGGGTATTTATACGAATGCCATGTTTAGGATACTCGGCAGCAGATGACCCTTTGCAAAATTCAGGTGACGATACCGTTTTACGGTGCAATACTTTCTTAGTTTCGGAAGGATCATGAAACTAATACGTTTGTACACTGCATTTCAATAAATAATATTACACTCTAGCTTGATGTTCTTAAAAATACCAAAAAACCAAAATAATTATTCAAAAAAATAAAGACGTTGAATATGGCAAACTGTAAAAAATTAACAATCGAGGTATTTGAATCGATCATTCTATAGACTTATCTAAATATCTAGGTTAATTATCACACCTACCTACCTAAAGATTATTGTCACATTGGACGATTAAGGCGAATATAGAATAAAATAAATAAACACAGTATTTGGCAGCTGTTCGGTATTTAAATTTATTTCTGACGTAGTCGAAGTTTGAATATTTCGAATATTCGGCCGTTGACAGCCGGATGGTCGTTACGAAACCATGCAATTTAGACATTTGACATGTACATGAGGTATACTTTGGCTTGATGTCATTGAATGTCATTACGGCTACGTCATCACAAGCGTTGTATAAGAATTATATTATCCATTAAACCGGCTTCATTCCCTTTATTTGGAGTAAAATGTCATATGTGTCTAATTTTATTTTACGTATATTAGTAGCAGCTAAATACTTATTTCCTTCTACTATTATTAGTGGAAAGGTTTAAATAGACTAGAACAGAAGTAGCTTTCATCTTTGCTCGATCGAAAAATAGTTTTACATTTAGGGACATTCAAAAAATTCGCCCGACGAATACTTTTAAAGTACTAATGCAAAACGACAAGAGACGAGTTTGTAAATAGTAATAATTGGAGTTTAGTAAAAATAAAAGTAAACTCGTTTTAAGTATCATTATCCTGCTCCTTGAGATCATCATTACAAAGCATAACCTATTGATGTCTTTAGAAAGAGTCACATGAGACACTATTGGAGTTGTTAACGAGCCTCGGTATGGGTTTACTGTAGACTTTCATTCCAAGACTCCATCATCAGATTAGGTCTTAGATGCCAAATTATAGTATTGTCATGGAAATAAAATGTGAAGACATGAATACAAGAATACGGAGTGTCACCACCCCTGTTCATCCCGTGGGTATCGTAAGAGTCGACTAAGGGAGTAAACTACGCAGAACAACAGCATTGCAAAGAGAAGTCAAACTTGACACAAACCCTGAACCAACCTGTCTGGCTAGCGTGTATTAGTAGGCCAAAACCTCCTTCCTAAAGAGGCCTATGTTTAGCAGTGGAGTATTAAAGGCTGTTGATGATGATCTAAATTATATATACAATATAACAATACAATACAACAAACACAATATATATTTTAACTTAACAATATATATTTAATTATACTTTAACCTACTTGTAATTATATAGACAATTACAAGTAGATTAAAGTTTACTTCGAACGTTTTGTTTACAGAGTTTTAAGTTAGTTAATTAGTTACAAGTGAAGCTAATAAAAGCTTGTTAAAAAGTTAACCGTTTTTTAATTTATTGGGTGCTTAAATAACGCTAAAAATGTGTCATGTTTTCACAATAAATAAAAATTAACTTCATAATAACATAAATTAGTTTAATTGCCTATAGGTAAGTATTCTGTTTCACATACCTTTGTCTCTCCTGTTTAGTGATGTTTTTAAATGTAATGATTACTAGCAACTTCGCGTCAAAAGCGTTATAGCTATAACCTTATTATCCATGTCATTCATATATGCATCCTGTATGAAAGTTGCAAGTAAGTAAATATAAAAAATTAAGATTAGGCGTCTTCCAATTTGCAACTTACCTCAAATTACACTGTGCATCTTTCAAATCCCAAACTGTTTAATAGATTTTTACGTTACTTCCTGGCAGATATATGATACCACAAGGAATAACTTGGCTAACTTTGGAATAAACTTGACTCCACGTAAAAAAAAATACACGTGTGCAAAAAGCCGTCATAAAGAAATGCTCCTGGCTTATCGCTGCTCAAAACTAAAAGACAGGGTTACAAATATCTCTGTGTACATGTGTGGGTAAAATTGTATACTCGCCTCCTGTTTATACTTAAAATTATCTTTACAAAATGCATTATTTTCGTTCAAAAATGTGAAAGGTGAATGACATTGAAGACAAACACATTTTTATGCAACTTAATGCTTTTGAATTTTCGTACGTGCAAAAAAGTTTGTGTAATGTATAATGGAATAAGAATGTTTCGAGAAACTGTTAGGGGCTTTGACCAACACACAATTTATTATAAATTTTCTTAAAATTGTTTTTACAGTTACATTTTACATAAATTGTACAGCCTGAAAGATTAAAGAAAAGAAACTGGTGGTTAGAACTTCTTTATAGGCGGTCCAAGCTTAAAGCTCTCTCTCTCTCTTTCTCTCTCTCTCTCTCTCTCTCTCTCTCTCTCTCTCTCTCTCTCTCTCGAATAGATTAGGTTAGGTTTCCTCGCATAAGAAACTGTAATACACGTATATACACACATCAAAAAAGTCTAACCTACATGTACGGTTTTGAGCTTTTGAACGATTGTAATATACATATTTATATTTCCTTTATAAATTATAACTAAGCATTATTTGATGCAAAAGTGACTTAAGCACAATCTTTATTCGATTGTTCATTTAATCACAATAATTAACAAAATGTGTACCGTACTAGAGGATTCGATCCCGGGATCCCGGATCTCCCGGTCATATTTTAGTTCCGAAATTTTCGGGTCAAATTTAATGAATCCCGGGATTTTCGGGATTGACACATTTTTTACATAAGTCAATAAAAATGTGCGTAAAAAGAAACGCACTTGCCTTGATTTGATGTTTTGACAGCCATCTTGTCTACACAGCTGATTTCATTTGTTTTGCTAATGACCGGTTCTGGATAATGCGTAAAAGTGTGTAATTTATAAAGTTTCTGGGCAATTTAAATAAAAAATATGAGTAGGTATCTATAAACATTGGTCTCTTAAGCATATAGTTTTTTTTTTATAGTTTATCTGAAAAAGTCTGAAGAAGTTGATTTTTTTAAGTTTATTGTTAGTTTCATAAATTATTTACCGCAACACAAAACAAAATAGGCACTAGTTTGATTATATTATTTTATAAGAAGAAAGTATAATTTTGGTTAACCGCCTTTTTGGAGATTTAAAACTTAAATATTCTATGTCCTCACAAAACTAAATGATAAACAAAAAAAATATTTTGATATGTTTTACTGTCTTTTTGTTACTACTTTCCATGCCAATACAATCCCGGGACTATCCCGGGATCCCGAGATTAACTGTAGATAATCCCGAAATCCCGGAATTATAAAAATCGACCGGGATCGAATCCTCTAACCGTAACATACGTAGTATAAAATAAAGTTAAAACGAACAAAAACAACACAATCGAAAAGTTTCGATTTTTAGAATCGCCCAGTAGATATATGTTTACGAGAACAAAAAAGGTTGCCAATCTACTTTGCTAAGAAATAAATAAAATATCAAAGAAAAAATAAAATAGCATGCAGTTTCTGTAAATGATTCGTTTTGCTAAGACTTTTTTAATGTGTGTATATAAATCCTTGTATTATAAACATATTTAGTAGAAAAGAGTTTTTAACTTCCCCGTAGGTCCTATGCTGGCAAAAACTTTTTTAAAGTGCATTGTAATCCATCTCTACTTATTTTTTAAACATTGAACCAACGAATATCAACTAATCACCACCAGGCACCGGATTTAATCATCTTATACTACTACTATATTAGAGGACTGAGACGCTCTTAGAGACAGAGCTTTACAGAATCATTCTTGGTGAACACGCAGCGAAACACTTAATACTTGAACGATTAAAATTATTTCAGAGACCAACTAACTCAGCATATAAACACGAATTATGTGTGCGAAAATAAGTGAGACAATATCCCAGAATAGCAATTTTAATAGTACAAATCACAATTTGATTCGATTTATAGCGACGAAAGCGATGATCATATTTTAGAATGTTCTAAATACAGTGACTTTATGACATTATCTTTTCGGTAAACGTATGGTATCACGTCAATTACATTCCAGAACTTCACTATATTGTTCCTCTTGAATCACTGAATGCAACGTAATATCAGAGTCTAAAACTGAGATGGCGCGTTGCCTGACCATGCTCAGTTACCGTGAATCATTGTTAGATCCAGGGATTGCTCTCAACTAAATTTATCAAACTTCTTGTACTGATTTATATGTGCGATAAAACATAATTACTGAACACGTGTTGTTTCCCCGAAGTATGGGAATAGGGGGAAGGTCGCAATAGCATTGCACAAAGATTATTTTTGAAACAATTACGACGCAGTTATGGGTTAAAGACATAATGTTTGCATTCTTGTTTACTAATTTTCAAACATTTACGTATTTTAAATGTTAATACATTGATTTTATTTATTTATTTACACTTTATGCACAAATGCGACAAAGGCGGACTTAATGCCGTAGGCATTTTCTCCCAGTCAACCTTAGGGCGATGCACAGCTAAAACATGGTAGATGCACAAAATAAATTAATAATGTGATTTTATGAAAAAAAAAAAATAGCATATATAGGATATCATATACCCAGAGTACTTATATTAATTACATTAGAATATTTTTTAATAAATAATACACATACAATAAGTGATAAT